TTTATATTTTATTTATATTTTAAACATCTTACTTTTTTCATCTATTTCAGTTGTAATAAAATTAGCGAGCTAAGCCAGTAGTAGTGCTGACAGTGTCGTGTAAACGACTGAAGACGTGAAAAGCAGAGGAACAGACAAACCTATTCAATTAAGTGAGTCATTTACACTATAACCGCTCTGTTTGATTCAAAGTCATGACTTCGATCATTCAGTTCAAGCGATTCACAAGCAAAAACCAGATCAAAAGAGCCATTCATCTTCGAATTTCGGCATCGCTTGCAATGATTAAAAAACACTTATATTAATCTGTGAAGGAGCTTTTCGAAACTCCGAATCAGTTTTAATCCATTGCATTGCGAAATGATTCACTGTTTCTAAGCGCTCCAATTGGATCACGTATCGTGAATCATTTGATTCAGGTCGGGACTTCGGAGCGGGTTTGCAAATCGCTTAGGCTACTGAAAGATTTGAGATTCGTGCTCCAAAGGCCCAATCTGAAATGATGGTTCATGAATCATTATTTAGATCGGAGCTTTGGTGCGGGTTCGCAAATCTTTTGATTCAGATCGGAAAAATTCAGAGCGGGTTCGCGAATCATTTGATTCAGATCGGAACTTCGGAGCGGGTTCGCGAATAATTTGATTCAGATCGGAATTTCGGAGCGGGTTCGCGAATCATTTTATTCAGATCGGAACTTCGGAGCGGGTTCGCAAATCTTTTGATTCAGACCGGCACTTCGGAGCGGGTTCACGAATCATTTGATTCAGATCGGAATTTCAGAGCGGGTTCGCGAATCATTTGATTCAGATCGGAACTTCGGAGCAGGTTCGCGAATAATTTGATTCAGATCGGAACTTCGGAGCGGGTTCGCGAATCATTTGATTCAGATCGGAACTTCGGAGCGGGTTCGCGAATCATTTGATTCAGATCGGAACTTTGGAGCGGGTTCGCGAATCATTTGATTCAGATCGGAACTTCTGAGTGGGTTAGCGAATTATTTGATTCAGATCGGAATTTCGGAGCGGATTCGCGAATCATTTTATTCAGATCGGAACTTCGGAGCGGGTTCGCGAATAATTTGATTCAGATCGGAATTTCGGAGCGGGTTCGCGAATCATTTTATTCAGATCGGAACTTCGGAGCGGGTTCGCAAATCTTTTGATTCAGATCGGAACTTCGGAGCGGGTTCACGAATCATTTGATTCAGATCGGAACTTCGGAGCGGGTTCGCGAATAATTTGATTCAGATCGGAACTTCGGAGCGGGTTCGCGAATAATTTGATTCAGATCGGAATTTCGGAGCGGGTTCGCGAATCATTTGATTCAGATCGGAACTTCGGAGCGGGTTCGCGAATCATTTGATTCAGCTCGGAACTTCGGAGATGGTTTGTGAATCTTTTGATTTAGATTAGGACTTTGGATCGGTTTCGCGAATCATTTGATTCAGATCGATCATTTAATTCAGATCGGAACTTCGGAGTGGGTTCATGAATCATTTGATTCAGATCGGGACTTCGGAGATGGTTTGTGAATCTTTTGATTCAGATCACACTGAATCATCATTTGATTCAGATCGGAACTTCGGAGCGGGTTCACAAATCATTTGATTCAGATCGGAACTTCGGAGATGGTTTGTGAATCTTTTGATTCAGATCACACAAATTGCATTTTTTTTTTTCTTTCTTTTTTTAATTAAACAGTACAAAACATTAAACCATTGAGACATTACAGTCATAGAAACAAAAAGAAAAGGTGTAGTAACATAAACTTGCATAAACTGCTTAGACTAGTCTTAAAAAGTTAGACATCTATTTATTCCAAGGTCAGTTACAAGAAGATAGATTGGTCTGAATCCAAAAAGTGAGACTGATTTCTCATGGGTTAACTGCTAGTTGGTCAAATGAGTTCTTCAGACAGAGAGTCTTAACATTGTGGCTTTATGCAACTGGCCCCAGGACACTGCTGCGTCGTTTGCAGTGTTTTTAAGCCTTGCCAGCTGAAACATTCAAGCGATTTTAAAGCTTTCAAGCACAAGAAGACACAAAACAAGTCAATTCAGCACTCGCACAATTGAGCTCTCTTTCACTTGAACGGACAAATACATACAGAATTATGTCAAAATACTCGTCTTGGTGAGTATTCACGAAAACTGTTGCTTATATTGTAAGTGAACAGAAACAGCTGATAAAGATGTGCATCATTACATTGAATGAAGTCTATAATAAACAGGACATTATTATTATTATTATAGCTACGGCCCTGGGATGAACAGAGCTTCTAATAGTTTCCATATACTTGTCAACTCTGAATAAAGAAAATAGAGGTTCAGAGCCAGATATCTGTTAATGTAAGGACATTTAGCTAGCAGGAAACACAATTAATCAAGTTATATTTTCCTTTGAGTAAACAATCCAAAGAAAACATCTTTAAAAAAGAAAGAAAAGTCACAAAATGAGATTGAGCAAATCTGAGCAAAATGTCTCGGTGTGGTTCATTGCCAAACAAGTGAATCTTCCTCAGAAGAGATAAAAAACATCTTGTATTATAATTGCATCCATAAGCTTTTAGTGAACTCATGAATCTGTTGTTTGAGCTCTTCATATTTAAGGAGTTATTGTTGTCTGCTGTTACTGTATGTTCCCACCGATGTCGAAATCAAACATACGCCCTTGACATTAATTATTATTTGCTTAGAAAAAAAGTCCCATCACATGTAATACATTAGATATTTTCAAATTCATCTTTTTTTTTAAACAACATCCAGTTTTGAATCAAATAAACTAGACAAGACAAAAAGAGCAGTAATTAATGGCGACAGCATGCACTTTCATTAATAGACTCGTATAACCTAGTTTTTGAAAGACATCTCTTCTGCTCACCAAGGCTGCGTTTATTTGATCTAAAATGCTTTAAAAATATTTTTTTTAAAACAGCTGTTTTCTCTGTGAATCTCTATTAAACTGTAATATATTTCTGTGATGCGCAGCTGTATTTTCAGCATCATTACTCCAGTCTTCAGTGTCACATGATCTTCAGAAATCATTCTAATATGCTGCTCGAGAAACATTTCTGATTATTATCAATGTTGAAAACAGCCCAATATTTTTGTGTAAAGTGTGATGCATGTTGTTTTCAGGATTCACAGATGAACAAAGTTCAAAAGAACAGCGTTTATTTGAAATAGAAATCGTCTGTAACATCATAAATGCCTTTTTACTGATGCTTTACGGTCAAAATTCAGCATTGCATCACAGAAATAAATTACATTCCAGCATGCATTCACATAGACAACGGTTGTTTTAAATTGTAATAATATTTCACTTTTTTTTAACTGTATTTTTGATCAAATAAATGCAGCCTCGGTGAGTTTATTCCGAACTGAAGTAGTGTAAACTGTGAGCTTTTACAACAGTGGTGTTATATTCACAGCACATGCATCAATGCAATCTAAATGAATAAATGCATGGATGTGAATGCGGATCTTTACCTTCGACACCAGGAATCCCTCCATGTACTGCAGGATCTTTCTCGGATACGGCTCTTCTCCGGCCATGATCAGCGGCGTCTGTGTGTGTGTGTGAAACACTGAGGAACGCAGGCTCTTACACACACATAATCAGATTACACAGATTATCCACGTCCAGATTGAGCGCACACAGACCTGCTTTAATCCAGAGGCTTTAAACTCTCAAAGCCAGAAGCTGCTTGTTCAGAGAGAACGAATGAATGAAGCTGATGCTTCAGCAGAACAACAGGATCATCCCGACCTGAAGATCCACAGCACGATTACAATCATACTAATCAACTCTATTCATTAAGAATATTCATTAACTATGTTTTACCCTCTGTACCATGGTGAAATCACTGTGGCTTTAACATGTTTTTAATATAACCCAGTGTTATTTTAGTATCTTTAAAATGCTATCAGTTTTTATTTCTGTATTTTCTGTTATTTTTTAAATGTACTTTAGTTTGTAATTTGTTCATGTCTATAATTTTTTTTTTAATTCTTATTTCAGTTTTAGTTTTTTTAGTATAAATCAAGATGATAAACATTATTATTATTATTTTTTTTAAAGAAGTCTCTTTTGCTCAGCAAGGCTGCTTTTATTTGATAAAAAATACTTTAAAAATTGTGAAATATTATTAGAATGTAAACCAGCTGTTTTCTATGTGAATATCTGTTAAACTGTAATGTATTTCTGTGATGCGCAGCTGTATTTTCAGCATCATTACTGCAGTCTTCAGTGTCACATGATCTTCAGAAATCAGTATAATATGCTGATTTGCATATTTTGATATAACTTTTACATTTATGAATTTGGCAGATGGTTTTATCCAAAGCAACTTTGGATAAATTTTATCAGTTTTTTAATCAGTTTAATGAAAACCTAATAATTAATCATAATTAAAAAAAAAATTTAAATAAAAACAACCAGAATAAAACACTTGCTAAAAAGAATAATGCTATAATAATATCATTACATATTAAAAATATGTTATTTGTTATGCTGAATGTCACGTGAGCATTAACCATCATGAGAGAACCGTGAAACTGCAAACATGTTATTAAATTATTGAAATATTAACCTTAAATCTCAGGGTAACTGAATATTTGAGCTCAAATGGAGCAGTTTTTGACTCGATGAGAAACATAATTTGCTGGGGGGGAAATAAAATAAATAAATAAAATAAAAATGAACAAATAAAATATTCATGGTCCTTAAAAGGCTTCATGTTCTTTATGAAAAACATAATTTGTTGGGGAAAAAAAATAAATAAAACAATTGAAAACAAACAAACCATTTAAATATAATAAAATAATTTGCTGGGAAAAAAATTAAAATGAAAAATAAGACAATTAAAAATTAGAAAAAAAATAAAACGACAAAAAATTATAAAAAATAAATAAAAATAAAAAATAAACTCTTCATGGTGGTAACCAGGCTTCATGCGCTCTCTGAAGCTCATCGAGAGTGAAAGGACGGCAGATTCCCGCAGAGGATCCAAAGCACTGCTTTATTGAGATCAATAACACGAGTTCATACGAGTCACAAACATCTTCAGCGTCTCCATCGTGTGCTTTCCTCTCAATACTGCACTTGTGTCGAGGAAAACAAAGCGTCCTATTCCTACACAACAGCACACGGAGAAACTCTCATAACACTCTCTACAACTTCAAATTCAAGTCATGAACCGAGGATTGTGGTCTATACAGCAGATCTTCAGTACAGACTCAAACACAGCTCAGTCTGTGAAGAAAACACATTAACTAACTCAACTCAACCGTCCAGAAAACACAGATTCCACCTCACAATCAGAACTAATGATATTAAACAGGGTCTAATGTTAGGGACTGCATTTAGGGATTGTTTCTTGAAAATAATACACATTTTTTTCCTACACATTTATTATGATGTGAAAAATTCTGAATCTCATTAGTCGTTCAAATAATTATTATTATTTTTTTTTAATTAAATGTAAGGCATTTATACATCATGCTATTTATTTTTTGTATTACTTTTAGTTTCACTGTCAAATTTAGTGTTAAAAAAAAATAATAAAAAAAATCTAATGAGAGTAGTGAGAATCACAAACCAATTGAAAGCAAGATTTATGAATGCATCACAGAAATTATTCTGAGAATTTGAAGAGAACTGAAGTAACCATAAACAAAGCCTAAATAACTTGGAAAAAAAAATAAATAAATAAAAAAATTATAATACAAATAAAAATGAAATAAAATCTTCATGGTCCTAAAACAGGCGTCATGTTCTTTAGGATTTAAAAAAAAAAAAAAACATAAAAATTAAAAAATCAAATAATTAAGAATAAATCAAAATTTAAATATTGAAAAAAAAATAATCGTTAATCCTTAAATAGGCAACATTATTTGCTGGGGAAAAAAAGAAAAAGAAAAATGAAAAAAAAAAAAAAAATCAATAATAAAACAATTTTTTTAAAAATAAAAGAAAAACATCTTAATAATTCTTAAATAGGCAACATAATTTGCTGGAAAAAAAAAAAAAATAATAAAAAATAAAATAAAATAAAATGGCTTCACATTCCTTATGAAAAACATACAACATGCTGGGGGAAAAATCTTAGTGTTCCTAAATCAGCTTTCTTTAAACAAAATGCATTTTCTTATGTTTTGTGTTCTATGTTTAGGGTGAATGTGACCTGGCTGTGTTTTGATGAGGTTGTTCTCTCAGTATCGTCTGGATCGGTGACGCGAGCGTCTGCGGCTGCGACTGCGGCTGCTGCTCTGGCTGCGTCTGCGACTGCGTTCACGTCTGCCGCCGTCTGCTTCGCTCTCTTTCCGCTTCTGCTGCTTCGTGGCTGCGCTGGTGTGTCTGCGCTGGTTCTGGTTCTGCGCGGCGCAGATCTGCAGGTCCAGATGGACGTCGTCAGTGTTGGTGCTCTTCTTGAGCAGGTTTCCCAGCAGTTTGTCGCGCAGCTGGCGCTCTCTCCTCTGTAGCTCCAGCGTTCGCTGCTTCTCGGCCTCCACGCGGCGCAGCTCGTCCTCCTGCAGCTGTCTGCGCTCCTCCAGACGTCTGCGCTCCTGCTGCTGCTGCTGCTTTAGCCTCTGCACACAACAGCATCAGCAGCTCACATCTCAAGTCCAGTCAGCTTTATTTATACAGTGCTTTTAACAATACAGATGTTAAGAAAATAACGTGTGATTTACTAGAGGCTGTGACAAAATATTAATTGCTGCAGTCTATTTAAAAGTGTGTAACTAATTTGCATGAATATATATATTTAAAATACCAAATTTTTTTATATTAAAATGACTCGGCTTGAATAAATGATTCAATGAATCACTCATAAAAACTTCACTTGTTGCATAACTGGATGAGTCAGTGTTTTTGAACGAATCTCTTGAATGAATGATTCAATGACAAACACATTTTTAACAGTCACCTGTCGCCACCTAGTGGAGAAACAATGCAGTCGACACAAACGTTATTTGAAGCGCCAGTTACTTTCAGAAGATGACTTGCTCTATTTTGATAGC